TGATTTTTTATGAAGCAATTTCACTCACTGAACAACTGAACTTAGTAGAATCTCAGAAGGAGCTTTAGGAGTTTCAGGAACCAGCTAAGCTAAATTATTAAAGCCCGTTTCTGCCATTGAATTGTGAGATAAAAAAAGTAGCTATTACCTTTTTTATTTAGATTTAAAAAAAAATCCAGTTCTGACCCCCCCCCCCAAAAAAAGTCAGAATTGGGAAATATGAACTCAGAATTCGAAGATGCTATTGGGGGAGGGGCATTCTCGTTCTATAGAGCATTTGATTGGACAAAAATCTTTGTAGAGCAAGATGATGTCTTCAATTCATGAAAAAAATCTGAATCGCGAGATATAAACTTAAAACTGAACCTTAAAAACCTTGTGATAAAAAGTTAAAGTTTAAGTAAAAAGCAATTACCTTTTAATTTATTTATTTTTATTCTGTGGCAGAAATAGGCATCCATACCTAAACAAGCTAAAAGTTGAGTGCAAATCTTACCTTTTGTGGCCTGATGATAGATGGACGGGGAATATGTGGCCGTTTTGTGTCCACAACAGGGCTCTTATCCTGGGCATCGTCTTCCTCTGAGAGCCCTTCTGAGCTTGGGTACGAATTAAATGTGTCCTGGTTCTCTGTGCCCAGTTCTTTGGTTTTGGAGTTAGTTCCGTTAGTCTTGGTCTGGATGGAGACGCAGCTAAATGAAGGCTGGCTATCAGTCCTCACAGGGTTTATTGGACCAGGCTGAGTGAGAACAGCCAGCCCCATGACCAGATCTGGTCCAGTTTTGCAGATTTCTGGGTCCAGGTATGGAGCAGAGTCAGTAGAAACATCTGGAGGACCACCGAAACAGTACTGTAGCGCTGAGCACGGAAGCCCATGCATCACGCTAGATGATACAAGCTTTCAGTGTCCAATGAGATGTTGAAGCTCCAGTTCATGGATGAGATCCCAATACGCGAAACCATTTCAGGATACCATCGCAGTTTGATGGTTTACCATGGTTTCACGCAAAAAGATCCAAGAAATATTGACCTCCAGAGACCTTCCCACAAGCGATTAAGTTGTGCTCACAGGCTCAACATGTTTTTCAGAGCAACATAAGCAAGTCTAACTCCAACAACCTTCTCCATGAATGCATTTGGGAAACTTCCAAACACATTCCTTTCTAATTATCAACTAAAAACTTGCAGAATTCACTTCAGTCTACTCTGTACTAGTCCTTCCTCTTAAACTGCTCTTTCTGAGGATGAATGTGAGGCTTGGGGCTTTGCGAGCGATGGGTTCGTGGGGGTGTCCGAGTGTCTGGTTACCTGAGCAGGTACTCCCCCTGCCAAGGGCCTGTGGCATTGTCCTTGCGCATCCCAGTGTGCCAAGCGGAGGTGTTGGGTTTCAGGGCCTCAGTAACTGATAGGCTCTTAGTGAAACTCAGTTGTGGCGGGTTAAGGCAAGGAGCAAAAGAGTGAGAAAGCGTTATCAGAGACCTCAGAACCGATCGCTGGACTGAACAAAAACAATTGGGTAAAAAACCCCAAAAAAAACAAGGTAACTAGTCAGGGGTCACTAAATGTGAAATATTAACATGTTAAGAATATGAATTGTCTATAAAAGAGTTTGTTTACAGGTAAGACTAATAAAGTTTTAAAAGATAGTTTCTGTAAATTCTTATGCCAATCTGCTAGCTAGGCTAGCACAATACTAGCATACCATTGTGAAAAAGTAGTACACTTTAGTATAGTTTTACGGTACGGTACATTATAAGAATATACTTAAGTGTGAATTAAATGTAATGTTTTTTAAACCCTTAATTGCATGTTATTTACAATTAAATGAAAATGTATTATAGTTTAAATTGATATTAAATGCAATAAGGTTTTTTTTTGACCCACTTAAGATGTACGTACATCTTGATATTTAATTTCATAATCATGTCCATCGTCTTTGAAATATGGTTAAAGTGTACTGCTTTTTATTTACCTTGGTAGGCCTAAGGTAAAATATACTTCAACATCATTTCTATTGAAACTTCCATGGCATGTATTTAAATATATCTGTAAAGATGAAGTTGCAATTTTGTGCATTTTAAATATTTTTACTTTAAAATGTAATATCAAATAGTAGTTACTTAATATCAAATAGCGTAGTGCAGCCATGCAAGGCTATCCAGCAGGGTAATGATAGTGTAAAACTACCAAAAAATACTGAAAATGAGATCACATAAAAAAGGCAGGTAGAAAGCCATATTACAACTCAATATCATATGTGTGTTACCCCTTTGGGAGTAAATATAGACTGGTCTGAAAATACGTCCACATTTGACAAGGCAAATATTAGCACTAGGTCACCACATTACACAAGGTGGACAAATTGAACAATGTAGAGCCATTGAAACATTGATGAGCCCTTTTGTTTGAGAATGTAAACAGGACTGCAGTTTCCACTCCATGAGGAGCCGAGGTACCATATGTGCACCAGAGAAACATGAGCTCAGGGAGTCTGAGCGTCTGAATCGCGATGTGAAGTTAATATGACTTAATAACAATGCTTTTATGTGTATTTTTAAAGGACAGGCAGTGCAGATGGGTGGAATTTTTCAGAGAAAGCCTGGTTATTTAGACCTGCATAATAAAGAAAAAAACAAGCCTGGAGTTATTTTGGTTTGGCTGATGATCCTATACAGCTTTTCCATGGGTAGTTATTATTAGTGCATGCAAAAAAGACACAATTTGAAATTCTAAATATTGCCACTCAATCTTTTTATATGCACATTTATAAAAAAAAAATATATACACAAAAGTAAATAAGTTGAATAAAATTATGGATGGTTGCAAATATTTAAAATGTCATATTTTCATAATAAGGACATCAAAAACAAATGTGAGAAAAAGTTGATATTTAATTTATATGAAAAGCGATAGAACCCTCACAAATGTAAACGGTCATAATTTACTCATCCTCATGTCATTCCAAAAATGATTTTTTTCTTCTTCTTTCTTTCTCTGGGAAGTATGAAAGAAAACTAAGTCAATGGCCCATTTCTGGGTATAAACTAACCCTTTAAGACAAGCATTTGGTGTCATCTATTGGTTTTACACTGTAAATGTAAAATAAAGTATGCAAAGAATGCAAAGTAAACCAGTTTATCCACTAGGATGCACTATACACAAATAAATCCGCTTAAAGCAACCCTGCAGACAAGCAACTCTGTGAAAGTGAGCCTAACAAGATCTCAATGTTTTTTTTCCACAAAGTGAACAGCAATTACATGTGTTTCAGTTCAGATGAATGCTTAAGTAATTTGATTTAAACATGCACACTTACCAATCAGGTTTCAGTGTTCAGTCTCTGTAACTTAGTAGAGTTTGATAAGGCAAACAACGGTCAACCTATACGGTAATCATTTTTAATTGTCACTTAAATATAGAATCAGCAGATTTTTAACTACAGGTCAAGGTAGTTCCAATGAGACAAACTTAACAAAATCGAGAGAAAAAAAAAAAAACTCATTCCAACAAATAAACAAGGGCAATTCAAATGACAAAGTAACAGAAGAGTCCTTTATCTTAGAGCAAATGATGCTCATGTTTGCAACATCAACACAAAAATAGTTTTAGCACAAAGGCAAGAACATAGTTTCAGCATGAAATAAAGTACAAATAGCCAAGGGATCAGTGTTTTAGCGAGCCTAATACTACAGTTTTATGCTTTTCTAACACATCAAAAGCGTGAAGACACAGAGGAATATACTGTATCCATTTGATCAACAGCAGTTTAATGAGAAATAGTGCATCCTGGAATAATAATTATAATAATAAAAAATAAAAAAACACTTTCTGCTATGAAATGATGAGCACTTCATGGCCATAAAATACAGTTGGACAAAGGAGTCGGAAGTTAACTTTTCTGAGACATAAACCTGACCTTAATCAATACTTAAATCATTTGAATTGCAATACCATTTACACAGTGGTAATACTCAAAGTACTTATGAAAGGACTTGTTCAGAACTGAATTCTCCTGAACACAGATGGACTGAAAATGAACAGTTTAAGAAATGTTCTGGGATCAAAATGAGTTAAGCTCTATATGCAGACGCTGTTCAGCATCTGTGACATACTGTTGATTACCACAGACAATCATTTTGACTCGTCCCCGAGTTTGTAAAACATAAAAACATGTTCACAGTAATGCACTTACAATGAGGCAAGGTATTCCGGATGGATTTAAAAGCCAAAATGTGCACTTTTTGCTTTTGCTGAAGTGGAATTATCTTGCCGTAAATCTCAAACTTCTTCAAAGCAAAGCAAATTGTGCAGATGACCTAACAACCTACATCTATGGGAGACTACAAACTACCTCAAATCAATGACCAACAGTTGTGAGTATTGTCTTAAAAACAACAACAAAACAATTCTACCCTGTATATTGAAATATGCAACCATCCAAAAGTTTGGGGTCAGTAAGGTTTTTACCTTAAAAAAAAAAACTTTTTTTTACAAAAGATTAAAAGTATATACTTTTTATTCAAAAAGTATGTATTATGTATTTTGTCAAAAGTGAAGGTGTAGACATTTATAATGTTAAAAAACATTTCCATTTCAAATAATTTCTGTTCTTTTGAACTTTCTATTCAACAAAGAATCCTGCATTTTTCCCCATAAAAATATTAAGCAGCACAACAGTTAGAAAACCGTTATTTTAAATTGTAGTCTAATAATATTTGATAATAATACTCGTTTTCTGTATTTTTGATTAAATAAATGCAGCCTTGGTGAGCTTAAAAGACTTCTTTTGGAGAAAAAAAAAATCCAGCCTCAAACTTTTAAAGTTATTTTAACTGAATTAATGTATGGATGTATATATATATATATATATAATTTTGTCAATTATAATCATTTTGTTATTTAATTAATATTATTTAACTTATGTAATAATTTTATTTATTTATTTTCTTTTAAATCAGCTTTAAATCAACTTTGGGAAACTTGGAATCCTTTATGGACCACCAGTCCATTATTGTATTTGTAAGTACATTACTAAAAACACATTTTTATTTGTTAACAATCTCTCAAGTTGTACTGAACCTGGAACATTTCTTTAATGTTAACATAGTGTCCTCCAATGCATTGGACATAATAACAGCTGCATGTCCAGCTCTCCTGTACATGCCAAACCAAATAAAGGCATATGAAGGTGGAAAACATCACTACTTCAAATACTATTACTGGACCCTAAAGTATAAGACAATATTGTATAGGGTTCAATACTGTATTATGAAGGCAATGTGTGCTTGATGGCCTTAAACAGATATAAAAGAGTCAGCAACATGAGAGAACGGGAAGATGCAGCACTGAGAAAAACTAATTTTTTTTTGTAGATCAGAGAGATTCATTTAAGGTATCAAAAGCAGTTTTCAGTGATGAGAATCTACAAGAGTCAGTGCAAGGTATAAAATTATTCAAAAGTGAAGGCAGTGTACACAGCAAAGAAACGACACAATGTGAAAAACATGCACACCTCTGACAGAAGACCAAAGGAATGTGTGGCAGCCATATTTTAGCTTTGTTGTCATATAGAGCAGTTGCTACCAAATTATACAGTCGCCTGTAAACAAGGTAAAAAACATTGTTCTTCAGTCTCAGGATGGAGCTTATGTTTAGAACAACTTGAGGAATTTGGGAATACAGGATAATAGTCTACTCTTCCTGTCCTAATGCACTCTGCCACCGAGAGGCAGCAGAGGCTACATGACATACAGTCATTGTCCTCTCAAAAAAGCCACTTCCATGGGAAGTACAGTGCAGTGTAGTGCAGCTTTTGCCTGATGGTGCTTGAGGGGGCAGGTCTTAGCTGTGGTAGCTGGGTACCGCTGCCTGTTTCTGGGAGAGGCGCAACAGTTCCTCTCGGATGGCTTTGATGAGCGAGGCGGAAGAGTGGTTGGGAGGGGAAGGCTCCTCGTGGGGAGCGGAGGGAGCGTAGCCAAGGCCGAGAGAGTCCAGGTGGGCAGGAGCGGCAGATGGCTCCTTCAGACCATTCCTGGAGGTCTGGAATACAGAGATGGAAGTGTAGTCAAGAGAGCCAAGAACCTAAACAAAAAATGAAGGAAAGAAGGACGGAAGGCAGAGTTGAGAGAAAGAATATTTTTTTAAAAACCTTAAAGAGTTTAGTAAAGTTAGTTTAAAGAGTACAGTAAAGAGTACAGTTAGAAAAAGTGGTAACACTTTAGATTAGGGAACACATATTCACTATTAACTAAAAGTTTTACCTCAGTTACCTCCTAATTTGCTGCTTATTGATAGTAAGTAAAGTAGTTGTTGTAGCAGTATGGGACAGGGTTATGGGACCTAAAATATGGTCATACAGAATAAGGTATTAATGTGTGCTAATAAACAGCCAAAATGCTAGTAATATGCATGCTAATAAGCAGCTGGCTAATAGTGAGTAGTGTTCCCTAATCCCTAATGTGTTACCGAAGAAGCCTCTTACGGAGGCAGAAAAGAGTGAGAATAGCTATTGAAGTAAGAGTTTGAAGAGGACCTATTTCACACTTTATGTATCATTTTATTTTATTTTCCCCTCTGAAGCCTGCTTATAGTGTTTGACAACATTTCTTTCACCAAAAAGGCCATGCATTATATATTTTTCAGCTTTGCATTTTATAATTGCTTGACTGTTATAGTTTTATTTTAGTTCAAGTTGATTTTTATATACTATTTTTAAAAATATATATAATAATGTATGTATATAAGTAGCATGGAATGGTGCACCTTTTATCATTTACAGTTGTCATGTCAGGTTACGTTCATCCTCACAATAAAGGCTTTTTTCCTAGAGATGCTCAACTTTATTTTCAGCCTAATAACAGATAAAAGTCACTATTTATAATAATAATTAATGTTAATTAAAATTGCAATATTTTTTTTTTTTTTTACAGTTTTTATTATTTTGTTCCTATGTTGTCATGGACATTTATATTTTATAGATAATATATGGTATATAGAAGGGTTTCCCAAACTGGGGGTTTGTGAGTTGATGGAAAGCTATTAAAAAATAAATTAAAATAAATCATTTGAAAATAAGTTAAAATACTGTTTACATGCATGTCATGCGACTATTAACCAACATCAGAGAAACATTAACATGTGAATGTGCTATTAAAATATTAACTTAAAATCTCAGGAGGTACTTAATTTAAAGTAAATATCTGAGGTCAAAGGGGTTCGGCTGACCAAAAAAAAAAAAAAGGAAATCCCTGGTTTTGAGACAGTATTTAGCTAATAAAAAAAAATCACTGTTGAATTTCTACATCTATTTATTTGGTAAGTAGCTGTGTAATAAGTGGTAAAACTGATTATGACCATCAGAATGTTCTCATGATTATGTTATGTTGATACTTTTTAAATTTCTAAACGTTATAAAATAAATATTCTATATGGACTGAGGATGGAGCTTTATATGTTTGCAATATATGAGTCTAAACACCAATTTCAAAAGAGTAAAGAAAATCCTGTTTTCCCTTTATTTGTTCATTTAAAATCTAAGTAAGAGAGTATTTCAGACTTACAGGCTCCCTGTTGTTAACAAGCTTGTTGTCGTCCTCATGATACGGGCTCCAGCTTAACCCGCCAGGCTGCCGGCCGTCACCTACACGACCTGTCAGACCAACATGGGCTAAATGATGTAGCTGGGCACCTGTGAACCGACATGTATGCTGCATAAAGTATACTTTATATTGCATCATATTGTATATACACTACTATACTTTTTATTGTGACATAACAAAACTTGCTCATTTGATATCAGCACTTTATTACAAGTGAAACCTTTAAGCTCATACCTGTAGTTCCACCTACAGGTCGTGGCCTGGTGGAAGAGGGCAACTGATCTGTGTTTCCCCCCCGACCAACATAAAGTGACTCCGGCTGTAGCTGTTCAACAGGAAGGGCCTCTCCTGACGGGATGTAGCCAGACCCTAAACCCTGTCTGTTGAGATTCAAAGACGTCAGACTCCAGCTATTAGCAAACCACACTGTACTCTCCCATTACATTCATTTAAGCTGTGTCTACACTACAAGTGAAGGTTGAAATACGATTGGCAGCATCGCCCACAGTTCCCGAAGATCACACAAAACTTTCTTGATCAGACTCGATATACTCACCTATGTGGTAAACCTTGCACACTGGAAGGTGGCAGACCTAATTCAGCATATCTCTGAAAGAAACACACAAACATGCTGTCGTTGAGCTTAAAACATGTTGATAATTCTTGGCACATCCATTGCACTTTAATGCATAAAAGGCTTAATGTAATACATTGCTAAGTCTGAAACACACATTAGCAGCTGTGTGCACCACCACAACCGAAGCTTCTCTATCTATCAGCCTAAATAAACCCTGTGACCCAGAAAATAGAAAAGCTTTTAAATAGCCAAGTTGGGAATGCCATTTTAAGGACAAGCATTTCCATAAAATGGCATGGACAGCGATGGACCATTCCATGCTCCATCTTGACTCGTAAATTAACCTTTGAGTTATTAGACAGTTCATATTTTGCCTCGGTTGGCCTTTGCAATCCCCTTTTTCCCTTCCGTGAAAAAAGCGTCAATCTGACAGAAATACTTCATTCATGACAGTGTTGACAGATGAGGCTTCCATTCTGGGGAGTTTATTCTCAATCTGTGGAAAACCCCAAGTCTGTCTTCCTCTGATATGATTCCAGTGCATCCAGTTTTCTTAAAATCACTCTAGCACGGTTTAACACACATCAAAACACATTTATAATGAAATTAACAAATCAACTGATTGAATCAAACCACCATAACCAGAAATCACAAGTGCACTTAGTCACTGCATCTCTGGATTGAAAAAATTGATTTATACATGCTTTATGCATGCTTGAACATTGACATGTAAATATGGACGGTCATATATTAATATGCTCATGGTTGTGATGTCAATTCCCTTTGCATTTCTAAATGTCCCATTTTTGCAGCTTAACTGAGCTTTGAGTTGTGATGGACCCATAATGGTTACCAGCCAATATTATAGATTTAAAAAAAAATAAAAAATCATATAGACCGATGTTGGATATTTAATTGTGAATTTTCATTTCTGGTATTTTTAGATTACCTTTGCTGTCCTACACATCCTTTGGTAACTTTAAGTTAAAAACACCAATAATTTAATTACACCGTTGTGAGTAATCTGCAGCAAAATTACTATTCATAATGTAAATTATAATACTGTGAAGCCACTTGATAAGCAACAGAAGATGGAGCTTCTTCACATATGCATGAGTCTCCGGTCTGAATGGAAGTGAATGGAGCGTGACGTCTAGTTTGACTGAATATTTAGACAAGGGGAAATAATTTAAGTAATGGACTGTATAAAGAAAACAGTAATACATCAGCTTTCATCATGTGCTTTTTAAATCACATGAATGTGGATCATCTAGTGGATTCTCAGACAGGATGCGTTCTCAAGACAAAGAAAATCAAACGTCTAATCGCTTAGAAAATAATAACATCTCTCCTTAACCAACCACACAATTTGAGGTATCATTCACAACTGCACAGAACGATTTACGAGCCAAATGCTTAGCATAAACAGTTTGTTCAAATCTCTATACCCAAGCACAGCAGATTGTTCTCACCCCTGTGTAGGGATTCAAGGGCAGGTATCCTGGGCCCCAAGGCCGTGGGCCACGGGATGGTGGGCTCGAGGCAGGTGGGGGTCCAGGGTCAAGCCCAACCCCAGGCAGAGTGATGCCAGCTGTGCTGCCCTGAGACGAAGGTGATACGAGGGCAAAGGCATCGTCCAATAGAGAGTGCATTTGCTGCCGGGCCTCCTCTATAGATGGCTGAGGAGGCAGATAGGGGGGTGGTGGAGGAAGGTGGCCAGGAGGAGAAATTGGACTGTGGAACACATCATCAGTCGGGGATGGGCTATGGTGCTCGGGACCCTGGTCTGGGTCCGACTGCAAAATATAAACAAATATATATGCTCGATAAGGCTGGATTTACTTGTTCAAAAATTGAGTAAGATATGAAATATTAAGATTATATTAAGATTACAAGACAGTAAGTTTATGAAATATTATTACAAGTTTAGATAACTGGTTTCTACCTACATATATTTTAAAATGTAATTTATTCCCGTGTGGGCAAAGCTGAATTTTCACCAGTCTTTAGTGTCACATGATCTTTCAGAAATCCTTCTAATATGCTGATTTAATGTCTGAAGAAATATTTTTTTTTATTATCAATGTTGAAAATCCTATACCTAAAAAAGCATTTATTTGAAATAGAAATCTTTTGTAAATCCATACTGACACTTTTGATCAAATTAAAGCATCCTTGCTGAATAAAATACATTTCTTAAAATAAAAAAACAAAAACATCTGATTGAGCTCAAACTTTTCAATGGTAGTATAAGTAAACCTTTAAATAAGCTAAATTAAATCCAACCAAAAATTATTCAGTATGTTCTCAAAAATGTAGGAAATTTGCACCTGCTAATTCACTACATGGAGCTGATTACAAAATGTTTTGAATTACAAATATATGGAAAGAATGGGAAGAAACAGCGTGGAGTTGATTACACAGTCACATGCAGAAGTACAGTGTAGTGAGAGAGAAAAATATACAGTTCTCTTCAGGACACTGACCACATATGCAATGTTATTGACTCCTGGGTATTTCCTATATGTCCCATCGCTGTCCGTCGTTATGAGTCTATCTCGGTCAGCATCTGTCAGATCACCGTTCATCTGTTGTTTCCTTCTCTGTTTAGGAGAACGCTTCCCTCTGTTGCTGCAAAACACACACAAACACTTTTGAGTGAGCATTTGGGCTTTAAATGTTCACGTTACATGAAAACTTTCTTGATCCATAGTTTTTTGCCCCCATGGAACAGTTCTAGAACATCACAGTATGATATTTAAGGGGATCATAGAGATACATTTTTGCATGTGGGCATGATTTTGTGTAGAAAATACAGAATTGGTCAGAACAGGCCTTAATTCTGTGTTCAGGACTAGTCTAATTATCAGTTGCAGGCCCTTTGTACCTTTTCTTGGGCTCAGTGTACAGTGAGGGCATGTGAATATCTGGATCAAGTATCTTGTCAATCTGCATCTGGGCCCTCTGGTAGATTCGGTCCTGCTCTTTGGGGTCGCCAAGACCATCGATGAGATCATCCATAGCAGGGAAGTCGTAATGGCCTTTCCTTTTGGCCCTCAGGCGGATCTTATTGCGATGATGCTCGATCTCAGACTTGTGCCGTAAAGCCACCTGGATCTGGAGGAGAAAGAAAAGTCAATGATCTTGGAGTCAATGAGAAGCACATATTGATTATTGGTGATTGAGCTTTTAGACACTGTGAATCAAATTCATGACCAAAGGGACCTTGAAGTTTGGAATGGGTCCCTAAGGAGAAGCCATATAAAATGAATGTGGATTAGATGTGGTGAAGGATACCTCTTTGTTGAGCTTGGTCTTCTCTGCTGCTCTGTCATTGGCTGTAAAGCTGGGTAAGGGCAGGGCTGGCATCGGCTGCATGGCGATGAGCTGGATTTTATTAGGAGGGCGTTTAGGGCCGTCAGTTGGGCGGGACATTCGGTCCACATGCTCAAAAATGGAGGCTGAAGATAAGGGCTCATCCATGCCATTCATTGGGGGTGGACCTACAGGGACAAATATAACAGAGTGTCAGTCTTCACATGTGCAACTGGCCATTCAGAAGCTTGGGGTCAGTAATTTTTTTGAAGGAAATTAATATTTTTATTCAGCAAGGATGCATTAACAGCACAACTGTTTTCAACACTGAAAACTGATTGAGCACCAAATCACAATACTAGAATGATTTCTAAAGGATCACGTGACACTGAAGACTGGAAGCTTTGCCATCACAGAAATAAATGACATGTTAAAATTTATTAAAATTAAAAATGGTTCACAATATTTCAAAATACTACTGCCTTGGTAAGCATAAGGGACTATGTGATACACAGTATGATTATATTTTTATTGTTTAGTATTATTTGTTACATTTTTGTAAAACGGTCCCGAAAGTAGTTGGGAAAATAAAATGTATTAATTTCATTGCACAGACAAAAAAAAAAATACTGGCATCTACAAATAATTACACATTTTTCAGAAATATTTTAATTGAAACTTTTGTTTGTTATTCATTTTTATCAATCATCATCCAATAAAGTATTTTTTAAATAATACGGTTTTTTAAATAATGCAATGAAATTCATACATGACGCTGTCACGTATATGTTTTGAGGCCACTGTATATTATGTTTGCACACACATATATATTAAACAATTCATAAACATATGCGTTCTACACTGTCAAACTAAAGCCAGCCTCATATGTGCCCATAACTAACAAAGCAGACATGCACAGTAATCAATCAGAAAATCTTCTTGAGTATCATTTTAGACCAGATGGGGGCAGCGTCTTACTGATTCTAAAGAGACTCATTTTAAATAAAATGTGAAAGACCTCAAGGCTGGGAGGATGATACATTGTTTAAAAAAATGCAGCAGGATGACGTTCAAGAAAAATATGCCCATGAAAAATAAGAACTATGAAATCTAATGCTACTGTACAAATTAGCACCACTCTTACCAATTCTATTATTCTTCCCTGTGAGTCAGTAACACATGGATGAATGGATGGAGGGAGTGTAAAAGAGAGAGAGAAAAGTTAAATGATGGCTGATGTACTAGAGATTGAGATGGAATATAGCATAAGTTATATGTAAAAGCATGTTTGAGTGGAATACTGGGTAAGACAGTATTTTGTCTTTGAAAACACTGTTATCACTGGAATGTAATCTTGAGAAGAGGAGGATGAAAAGGATTTTCCGAAAGGGAAGGGCGTTAAAAGGGAACAGCCATCAGACAGGGAGAGAGAATGTGAGGTGCTACGACTGAATTCCATGTCATTTCTTAGGGCCGTCAGTTGGGCGGGACATTCGGTCCACATGCTCAAAAATGGAGGCTGAAGATAAGGGCTCATCCATGCCATTCATTGGGGGTGGACCTACAGGGACAAATATAACAGAGTGTCAGTCTTCACATGTGCAACTGGCCATTCAGAAGCTTGGGGTCAGTAATTTTTTTGAAGGAAATTAATATTTTTATTCAGCAAGGATGCATTAACAGCACAACTGTTTTCAACACTGAAAACTGATTGAGCACCAAATCACAATACTAGAATGATTTCTAAAGGATCACGTGACACTGAAGACTGGAAGCTTTGCCATCACAGAAATAAATGACATGTTAAAATTTATTAAAATTAAAAATGGTTCACAATATTTCAAAATACTACTGCCTTGGTAAGCATAAGGGACTATGTGATACACAGTATGATTATATTTTTATTGTTTAGTATTATTTGTTACATTTTTGTAAAACGGTCCCGAAAGTAGTTGGGAAAATAAAATGTATTAATTTCATTGCACAGACAAAAAAAAAATACTGGCATCTACAAATAATTACACATTTTTCAGAAATATTTTAATTGAAACTTTTGTTTGTTATTCATTTTTATCAATCATCATCCAATAAAGTATTTTTTAAATAATACGGTTTTTTAAATAATGCAATGAAATTCATACATGACGCTGTCACGTATATGTTTTGAGGCCACTGTATATTATGTTTGCACACACATATATATTAAACAATTCATAAACATATGCGTTCTACACTGTCAAACTAAAGCCAGCCTCATATGTGCCCATAACTAACAAAGCAGACATGCACAGTAATCAATCAGAAAATCTTCTTGAGTATCATTTTAGACCAGATGGGGGCAGCGTCTTACTGATTCTAAAGAGACTCATTTTAAATAAAATGTGAAAGACCTCAAGGCTGGGAGGATGATACATTGTTTAAAAAAATGCAGCAGGATGACGTTCAAGAAAAATATGCCCATGAAAAATAAGAACTATGAAATCTAATGCTACTGTACAAATTAGCACCACTCTTACCAATTCTATTATTCTTCCCTGTGAGTCAGTAACACATGGATGAATGGATGGAGGGAGTGTAAAAGAGAGAGAGAAAAGTTAAATGATGGCTGATGTACTAGAGATTGAGATGGAATATAGCATAAGTTATATGTAAAAGCATGTTTGAGTGGAATACTGGGTAAGACAGTATTTTGTCTTTGAAAACACTGTTATCACTGGAATGTAATCTTGAGAAGAGGAGGATGAAAAGGATTTTCTGAAAGGGAAGGGCGTTAAAAGGGAACAGCCATCAGACAGGGAGAGAGAATGTGAGGTGCTACGACTGAATTCCATGTCATTTCTTGGCTAGTCAGACTGTAGCCTATTTAGTCTGGTAAAGCAGAAATGAGTGTTGAGAGGGTCATCGCCACAGGCACTGTTTGACAAGAAAAGAACACACACAGAGAGAGATAAAGGCAAAGAGAGCAAGAGAGTGGAAAAAAAACCCAAGCAGCCAAGAGTAAAGACAAAGGTTAGTCATTCTTCACAAAGGAGGGAGGATGAATGGGGCTGAGCTGACTAGAGAGGAAATCAAGAGGAAGAGCCACAAATCTTCAGCTGAAAGACAGGTTTTATTACTTTCCCCTTTCTGTCCATCTTACATCACATGTTCTTTTCCACTGGCTATTATGGAGGAGTAGGACTGTCTCTTAATAAAACCAAGGAATCATTTGCCTGTCTTGGCAGTCAACAAACAAAAAACAAAACAAAACAAAAGGGGCTTGTCTTAATATTCATTCAAAATTTCATTGGTTGCCCCCACACGTAAACTGTCCAATTACATTTTGTTAGGTAAAAATAAATGTAAAAATGGATTAAGAAAAGCATTTTAGTCATTAAATGTAAAAGTTACATTTAAAAATGATTTATTTTATTGCAATGTTATTTAAGTATTATTTATATATCATAATAGTATTTATAAAGTAGCTTTTATTTGTACATCTTTTTCCATTTTAAGTTTAGTCATTTGTTATGTGCTTTTGCTATTTTTATCAACTTTTACAAAGGTTTCTATTTAGCTTTAATTCATTTTCATGTTAGTACTTCAATACTTTGAACTCTAATTTTAAGGTTTTCATCTAATATTTACATCTGATTTTGCTTCAGCTTTATTTCAATTAACAAAAAATATTTGTAACAGTTTTAGCAAACAATAAAACACTTTTATTGTTACATTTAACTATATTTTTAAACATGAATTTAATTTCTTAAGTTATAAGACGACATTTAAGTAAAAAATTCTAAACATCTACCTCATAAAAATGATATTTATATTATTATTATTAACTAATAAGTAGATTCATTATTTGTAGCACTCCCAGTCCTTCATGGGATATATTAACAATTTCATGATGTCATGCATACTGTGGTACATGTCAGGATCGGTCATATCACAATTAGGTAGCACACAATTGCAAATGTGTCAAATACATGGGACCAGATTCAATCTCTCTGCAATTCAATAGTATGAGAAAAATAATTGCAATATCAATATACGACTGTATTGCCAGTCAAAATGTGTGCAAACTTACCATTTAATCCATTGATGGCTGGTTTATGTGGTTGCTTTAGATCGATGGGCAGACCCGCGGGTCTAATGCCCTCCTCAGGTGACCCTCTGTCGCTGGGTGGATCACTGCCTATGGAGTCGCCCTCGGATGGAGAAATCCTAAGCAAAAGACACAACATAAAATATTTTAATTTTAAAGCATGCTATGAAAACATTATGCTTTTGCCCTTATTCCATCCAAATCATATCACCAAAATGTCTTTTGATGACATTGTAAAGACCGCATGTTTCAAAACAATGAACGCAATTCAATGCAATTACTATACATTCATTTATGCATTTATGCTCGTTTTAACTTTGCATAGTCCTTGGATCTAATTCAAGACAAACATGAGCAAACTCCTCAGAATCATGACATCCTCATCCTGATAGATATTTACCCTTCATCCAGTTTTGATGAGGCAAGGGTCTCCAGGGTAAAAGCAAGAGGAGGATGACCTAAACCGGTCATGCTTCTAAACAGCACTTTCAGATCTAATGCGACCACACAAAGGTTCATGACTTGGTCATGAGTCCATTACCTATTCACTAACCTTTTAGTCAACAGCCTTTTGACTTACTAACTATCTTAATTACTAGGAATTTATTTATCTCTGACTGGTTATTTAAGCTTAGACTAGTTGGTATGTGTTACTAATGCACGTACACAAATTTTTTTATTATTTATTGATTTATTTTTGTTTTATTTTATTTTCAATCTGTATTTACATCTTTATTTTAAATACAGTCCAGAAATATGGATTATTCCATTTAAGCAGTAAAGAATATATAAGAATTACATATCTTCTGTCTATTTGTAACAAGGTTTCAGGTACTTGTAATATTTACAAGACATGAGATCATGCTGTAATTTCATCCCTAGGACCCTTCTATTGATTAGAGTGCGAGATGTAATCCTTTTAAAAAGCTTTCTATTGATCAGCAGTCGCCTCACTCTTAGCTACATTCCTGCCTTTAAATAAATTAACAAGTTATTTTAATATGAAGTTACTGCAGCGAAATGCAAAACAGAACCACTTTGTTATTTTAGGTGGATTTTTTGATACTAGTTTGTGTTTTAAAACAGGTAAAACCTTACAACAGGGTACCTTCAGTTAATTTATTAGTGAACATGAACTAACAATGAGCAATACTTTATCTTAGAGCATTAATTAACATTAGTTAATGTGTTAGTTAATAAAAATACAATTTTCATTGTTCGCGTTCATAGTGCATTAACTAAATATTAACTAAACAAATGATTTTAAAAATGCACTTGTAAATTCAATGAAATTAACTTCAATAAATCAATAATAAACCAATAGATCAATAAATACTGTATATGCATTGCTCATTGTTAGGTCATGTTTACTCATGTAGTTAACTAATGTTAACTTGATTAACTTGATTTTAAAAAATGAATTGAAAGAAAGTGAAAGAAATAAAAAAAACTAATAAGATTAATAAATGCTGTAGATGTATATTGTTCATTGTTAGGTCATTTGAACTAAATGTAGTTAACTAATGTTAACAAATATAACGGTTGATTTTAAAAAATGTATAACAAATGAAATCAACCAAAAATGAAAAATGCTGTAAATGTAGTGTTCATTGTTCATTTTAACTAATGTAGTCAATTAATGAGGTTGAACAAATGGAACCTCATTGTAAATTGTTACCAAAAACTCTGTGTGTAAAATGTTTGATCTTGAATATCAAAGAAACATTTATCAGACATACTGGCCCCTGCGCCGCTGGCCATTGCGGGAGGCTTTGGACTTTGGTGTGGGCACCTCTGCGTTCTCAGCTGGACTCTGTTCCTTGGCGGCCACAGGAAGTGGCAACGGCTCCTGGATGACCAGGAGATCATCCTTACTGTGCTGGCCCATGTGCAGCTTGGCAAAGTCAAAACCCTTCACGCTGGGCACCTGCAGCTAAAGACCACCACCCCAGAGAGAGGAAAACGTTAGAACCTTCAATTTGGAGAATCAAAATTAAAGCAGAGCGATGTTTGTGAAGGAAACGGAGGGACTGCGAAGGGGAGTGAGGGATGAAAGTTAATTGACTAAATGTTTATTTAAATCTGCTCACAAACACTAGACAGAATTAGGTCAGGCTTTAGTCCAGAGATGTCAATGTCAAAGCGCATCTACACGAGGCATAAAGACAGAATATGAATTTCTATAATCCACAGATTGACACAGTGTCATAAGAATAAATTGAGCAAGAGGACAGTAACTGACTCTCAAAGAGACACTGAGAAGAGTGAGCATTGAAAATGGATGCACTTGATTAGAGGTCCGCGGGCCAGACCAGCTAGACGGGCTGTAATAGCCTGTCTTTCTGCCGCACTATGAAAGATTAAATGAGCCAAACAAACAGCAGAGAAAGCTAATTCTCACTGGCTTTTTCAAAGGCTAGCAGCAGCCAAAGAAATTCAGTGAAGACTTAAAGAAATAGATTTAAAGGTACAGTCCACCCAAAATGAAAATTCATAAAAATAAAAAAAAACCTCCATGCCATTTCAAGCCTGTATGACTGACTTTCTTTTCTTTCAAAAAGTTAAATTTTTTTGAAGAATATCCTGGCCACTTTTTTTTTCAGTGTAATAAAAGTGAATGAGAACTGGATCAAAAATGATCAAAACAAAACAGAAAAAACAGCATAGCAAAAGTGGTTTATATGACTCAAGTACTATGTTCCTAGTTGTCTGAACCCAGATGATAACTGTATGTGACACACAGACTGAAAATCAAGTCTTAATTAATTGAAAATCTTGACATTGCTCTCCTTGGTGCATTCACGAGAGAAGTAATGTCGGATTCAGACTTGAGATGAATCTTTCAGATGAATTGGTTGTTTCAGTAATTCAGTCTGACTCAATTAACTAGTCGCAACAATTAAAATCCCAAATGCAGGGGAAGATTAATAAATCATTTCTGTCTGTTCATCACACAAAGACATCAGAAGGCTTATTCGCCATTGGGACTTCTTTTATGATACGCAGGAGTTAACATAAGCCACCATCCACGTTCTTTGTTTGGAAAAGAAGAGCCTAGACATTGTGTGGGAAAAAAAACTCTCTTTTTTGTGCTCAAAGAAAAACAAAAATAGTATAGACTTGAGGGTCAATAAATGATGACAGGATTTTCATTTTTGGGTGAACGGTTTCTTTAATGCTGATGAATCACCGATGTTTGTTTTATAATTTTCCAGATCAAACAAACTGTGCAGAGGTTTCACAGCGGATCAGATTTAATTCTATGTTTGATGTCGGATTCAGACTTGAGATGAATCTTTCAGATGAATTGGTTGTTTCAGTAATTCAGTCTGACTCAATTAACTAGTCGCAACAATTAAAATCCCAAATGCAGGGGAAGATTAATAAATCATTTCTGTCTGTTCATCACACAAAGACATCAGAAGGCTTATTCGCCATTGGGACTTCTTTTATGATACGCAGGAGTTAACATAAGCCACCATCCACGTTCTTTGTTTGGAAAAGAAGAGCCTAGACATTGTGTGGGAAAAAAACTCTCTTTTTTGTGCTCAAAGAAAAACAAAAATAGTATAGACTTGAGGGTCAATAAATGATGACAGGATTTTCATTTTTGGGTGAACGGTTTCTTTAATGCTGATGAATCACCGATGTTTGTTTTATAATTTTCCAGATCAAACAAACTGTGCAGAGGTTTCACAGCAGATCAGATTTAATTCTATGTTTCATATATTGCCAGAAAACACAGACATTTATGAAAAATGCAAAAGCTGGGTTCTTTTGTGTCGTGTGTACCGGCACAATAGAGACGGATACACTGAAATATGCTCATCTTCTGGGAGTACGTCTATTTCCGTTTCCCTATCACATTCCCTTTCAAATATACTTTGATTTGTATTAGTTATCTATTTTAGTTTTAGTTACAGTTGTAGTAATGTTGTCATTTTATTAGTTTTTTTATTATGTCTATATAGGCGTTTTACTTTTATTTATTTTGAGTTATTTCAGTACTTCAACATACAAAATGGAAATGAAATAATATATATATTTAATGTATTTATATATGTACATGTATATGTGTGCGGCTGTACATACACATATGTAGTTGTTTTTTGGTGTTTGGCTTAGTGTTATGTTAGAATCATTATTATACTCATACCTTTTGTTCTTTTAATATTTTTGAATTGTTTTTAGCTTTATTTTTTTGTTTTCATTTAAATGTTTTAGTTTTGAAATGTTGTATGCATTTGTCATTTTTATTTAATTTATTTTATTTTCTTAAATGTGTGTATATATATAGTATTTATAGAGTTTTAGCTTTTAGTTTTAATTACTTTTTCTTATTTGTAAGTCGTTTTGGATAAAAGCGTCTGCTAAATGACAAAGTAAAAGTAAAGTAAAGTAAATGCAAATTAAGCTGTTTGGACAAATTCTGTTTGTGATAAAAAAAAGCTCTTATCTCGTTTCTGTTTGCCTGTATTGCTGCTGTAACCAAATCTAGGCCACAACACAGTCAAAGCGGTACATGCTTAGACCAAATGGCCAGAGACAGATTATTCTTGACACATTCAAATACATGCATCTGTTGTTGAGATAACATGTTTTTTCCCCCAATTGCTCGTTATCATTGTCACAAAGGGAGATTAACAGCAATTACAAATACTATATCTAGGACAAACTGCTGCATTCTAGAAAATACATCACTGCACTGTTATCCATACTGTACTGTACAGATACCTCTGGCCTTCTCATACTGTACGACAAAGGCTTCTTTATAGCTTTCTTGGGTTCTTCTTTGGCCTTTTCTTCTTTCTCCTCCTCTTCTTCCTCCTCAATACTTTCTTTTTTCCTTATGCTTCTGACAGGTTTCTGATTTGGACGAGGGTGATAATAAAAAGTTGCTTGCGTTCCCGTCAAGTCAGATTCCATCAGATGACTGACATGTTGATATTAACTGTTTTCACACACTATTTTTGATGGTACTACAAACACATTTAGGAATGGGAATCATACTATGATTAGTATGACTATGAATGCTATGATTCGTCGTACTTAAGGAGGCAGCAAACAACTGATAATTAACTAAAGAACCATTCAAAAGTTTGGAGTCAGTACTTAAAAAAACAAAAAAACAAAAACAAATATTCATTTCAGCAAAGACACACTGAAATAATCTAAAGTGACAGTAAAGACATTTATTTGTTACAAAAAAAAATCTAATTAAATTAAATACTGTTCTTGTGAAGTTTGTTTGAAATCTGTTTTACCAATGATAATTAAGAAATATTTCTTGAGCCCCAAATCAGCATATTAGAATGATTTCTGAAAGACTGTGTGACGCTGAAGACTGGAGTAATGATGCTAAAAATTCAGCTTTGCCATCACAGGAATAAATTACATTTTAAAAGTATTTCAATGGAAAACAGTTATTTCAAACTGTAATATTATTTCACAATACTACTGTTCTTACTGTATCAAATAAATGCAGCTTTGGTGAGCATTCTCATGTCAACACGGTCCAAAGAGAACTACAAAATGGTCCAAAAAGATGACACTGACAGTGACTGGTACTGTGACAGCACTCCTCAGACCACTGAAGGTCAAAGAGGAAGAGGAATCTCATACTTTTCTGTGTGGGGACTAACTGGAGGACTATTCTACAGTCTAAAAAACACTACATCTCCTCTACCTTCTCTCTTCTCTCTTCCTCATCATCTTCCTCCCCTCCTCCTCTTCTTCTTCCTCACCCTCTTCTTCTTCTTCCTCATCACTACTATCTACAAGCTCTTTGCTCTTGACAGGAGTCATTGACCTCTGGATAAATTGTATGGATTTCTGTAATGAAGAGGTGGACTGCACAAGCATGGGAGAGGAAGAGTGTTTAGATGTGATTGGATGCGTGTTAGATAAAGAATGAAGTATAGAGATAGAGAGAGAAAGAGAAAGAAAGAGAGAGAAGCTCTAAATTGGCCCTAACGTGTTGCAAATAGCAAAATATATGATATATATAGAAAAATATGGGATATTTCACATAAAAATTTAAATTCTGTCATCATTTGCAAATCTGCATGACTTACTTTCTTATGCAAAACACAAAAGAAATACTTGAAGAACCCTAGGGTGTAAACCACATTGGATTTTGGGGGGAAAAAAACTAAAATCAAAATATCTTCTTTTGTGTTCAACAGAAGAAAAAACTCACACAGGTTTGGAACAACTTGAGGGTGAGTAAGTGATGACAGAATTAAAATTTTTTGTGTGAATTTTTCTGTCAATATGGGGTGCTGTGTGTACATTAATGAGGAAAAAAAATGAACTTAAATGATTTTAGCAAATGGCTGCAATATAACAAAGAGTGAAAAATTTAAGGGGGTCTGAAGACTTTCCGTACCCACTGTATATACATATATATATACACATACATACATACATACACACACACACACACACACACACACAAATGATTGGCTAGTCATTTAACAAGTATGAAATGTATATAATAAAAAAAAAAATGTGGCCACTGCATCACATCTCTTCAACCCTAACTACACCTTCTTAAGACTGACTCGTTCAGAAAACCTACTCATTAGTCAGTTTTGAAAATATGTAGCTTAGCTCATGCCCAGGGTTGCCAGGTTTTCACAACAAAACCTGCCCAATTGCTACTCAAAACTAGCCCAAACTAACCAAGTTTCGAGGGGTTCCCCTGGTTAAATTTGCATTCCAGGAGCTAAATATCACATTATTGGGGTCGCTTCAATCCGCGGACATGAAACAGTGATAAAGTAGTCCACGGGAAAACAGCGGACTTGGCAACACTGCTCATGCCAAAACACAACCCATAAAAATACTGAAAAAATTAGTTAAGAGATAAACATTAGATAGAATAGATAAACATTTATTTCACTACAAACCTGACGCAGTGACTACTGGGAACGGTTGACTCATGACTCAACGAATGACTGAATAGCATCATTGAAATGAACTGTCTAAACAAACTGATTGGCTGAATGAATCAGCCTTCTCAATGCCAAGAATAACTGTGAGTGTAAATAGGTAGATTAGTGGATAGCCAACTAAAAAACACATCCCCTAATTCTGATCTTTCAAAGCTGGCAAGCATCCGGCTACAGAGTCATTTAAATCACTCTGAGAGACGAGATAAGCAGCTCAGACTCACAGGAGCCCACCGACTGATTAGCAATATTACTGACACATCAGCAGGCATGAAAACTAAACCAAACAAAATGACAACATGGCCTACAGTTGAACATTACATTAGAAAGAAAGAAGAAATCTCATGAGAACCAGTGCTTCAGGATCCCAGAAAACATTTCATTACATTTGAGTCATTGCACAGCGTTTTCTGTCTCTCACCTTCTGTCTTTGTTGGACGGTGCTCATGGTGTCTGGCTGGAATTCCAGTTTGTCAGTGCGGCAGAGTTTCCAGTACAGTATAGTTATTATAATGACGACCACCACCACGGGGACCACCACTCCTACGATTATCCACGTGTTGGTCTTCTCTGTGTCTGAGGGAGGTGAGGCCTGTTTTTCCACAGCTGAACATACACAGGGGTAAAGAAGTATAAATATCTGTGACTACGCACAATATGTACACTAATGTTAAAAAAAACCTCTTAAATCTTTCACTTATGAAAAAGAAAGATTCACGAAAAATCACTTATGCTCATCAAGGCTATATTTATTTGCACAAAAGTACAGCAAAAACAGTACTATTGTGAAATATCATTACAATTTAAAATAACTGTTTTCTATTTGAATACATTTAAAACATTTAATTTTTTCCTGTGATGGCAAAGCTGAACTTTCAGCAGTCATTACTCCAGTCTTCTTCAATGTTGAAAACAGATGTGCTATTTTAATTTTTGTGATATATTAAATTTGATTAACATTAGTTGTGCTATATTCATTTTTGTGGGCACCTATGATACATTTTAATCTCACAACATTGTACGTCTTTTATTTTATATTCTATTCCATCTATACCACACCTGTACATACAATTTATTCTTTTTTTGTGGTTTATATTTATGCATGTGTATTTTATGCACATCTCATTTTTATTATCTGTGTGTTGTTGTTGTCTCCGTGTACTGGAAGCTTGTGACACTATAACAAATTCCTTGGCAATAAAGCTCTTTCTGATTCTGATTCTGATTTACTATAATGCATACTACTTACTAAATAAAAGTATTAATTTCTTGAAAATAAAAAAATCTTACAGTTAGTGTTACTAAATTTAAAGATGAACTTTAATTAAGCATTTGATAATGAAACAGCATGCACAATCAAATATCTAAAACGGCTCAAACGTCATTTAAAATGATTATTTGCATATATTTTGAATGCCAATATAAAATTCCACACATTCTATGGTGTTCGCTAAACATGTTTTGTTTACAAAAAACAATATCCTGTTTTTTAGTTCACTGTAATCGGAGATTTGAGCTAAAATTCAAAGGTCTAAGATGTTACACAACAGGAAGCTACTAAATTTAGTCTAATGAATCTAATGTTTATGCTGTGGGTGATGCAGTTGTAAGCCTGCCACATATAAATGTTACATAAAAAGGCAGAGCTCTCGAGATGTCTCGCTATCTGAACTCACCTCTTAGATGTTTAGAGCAGTAGAAATAAAGAATGCTACCACAAAAACCACTGCCTGCTATGTTACCATCAATCAGGATCATTTCAATTATCATTTCATCATTGTTTTTTACTGTCTTGGTTCATTGCAAGGTTATGTTATTTAGTTTCTCTCCCATGGATCTTTTTCAACTGAAAGTATTTCAAGTCTGGATGCTCACGCTGTGCTAATATGCCCTGGATGCGGTATCCCATGATGATCGCTGCATGCTGCACATCAAGACTGTTGAGCATGTTGGCTGTGGTTGCGGCGGGAAGTCTCTGTCCGTTAGCTCCTTCCACAAAGTAGATAATCTCCAGAGGGCTGTCAGGGCCCACAAGAGGAGTGGTCTGTACAATCTGAACAAAGTAAAAAAAAATTGTGCAAATTAAATGTACAATTCAATTCACTGCCATGTCTTTTTTGCACTTTTAAATATGGTTTAAAAGCAGCTTAAATTTTATTAAACAACACTGAGGCAAAATATTCAATAATAAACAAATACATCCACTAAAACTATTCAGACAAATGCAAAAAAATGATTGGCATCTGAAGCTGCTCAATCTAAAATTTTGACCTAGCCTTTAAAAAAAATGCAATGTATTGCAAAACATTCTCAGACTCTCTGTAGGAGTTTATAGAGATGCATTCTTTTCATTTTAGATTCTGTATTTAGATCAGTCCAATTTATGAAAGAATCATTCAGACACATTTTGAGAATTAATCAACTGATTAAAGGGGTCCTATTATGCTCTTTTACAAAGTCTTGATTTTGTTTTGGGGGTGTACTAGAACAGGCTCTCATACTAGGTTTTTCGAAAAACACATTATTTTTCACATATTTTACATTATAACAACACCTCTCTCCCCAGGCTGGCATGAACGGCTCGAATAGTTCCTGTATTAAATGAAGGCCCGCCTTCTGAAATATGAAATGTGCTGTGATTGGTTAGCTAGGCCAGTGTGTGCTGTGATTGGTTAGCTGGGCCAGTGTGTGTTGGGATTGGTTAGCTGGGCCAGTGTGTGCTGTGATTGGTTAGCTGGGCCAGTGTATGCTGCCACTCGGCGCCTGGTCGTGAAATGTCATGCCCCTTACTATAGCTGCCTGCTTCAGTGTAAATATTGCGTCAAAATCAATTCAGTTTGAGCGCGATTTAAACCCGGATGATTGTAATCACTCTAAGTTCGTCTGCCTTGAGAAAGCTAGCGTGTCTCGGACATAGTGATAACACTCGTTGCCTTCTCTAGTGCAGCTCAACCAGGTCTCGTCCCATTCGTCAATATTTGTGATATCACAAATCCCGGAAAATATGCGTTGTAGTCCAAACGAGTCATTCGTTGTAGTTTTTGAAAAGTGATTTCTGTTGAATAAAATATCTCCTTTTGAATTGAACTTTGAGCTTTGTAACTTTGCAGATCTTTTTTATGCTCAAACAGCAACATTACAGACTAACTAAAGTTGAAAAAGTGAAAAAGCATAATAGGACCCCTTTAATTGAATGACCTCTCACGAACATAGCAAGATTTTCAGTGAAGAATGTCTTAAATTTTAGTCTGTTCCTCACAAAAAGAATACTCATTCAGTGTATAAACCAGTATTGTTACGGTTTACTAAAACTAAACTATTAAAAATGGTTGAACTGAAATAATGAAATAAAATATTAATATTAGATAAGAAAAAACAAATGAAAATGTAAAATAACTGAAAATAAGTTATTTTGAAGTACTAAAATGACTAAAACTCAAGCTAAATAGAAATAGTTCTAAAAAACTAATGACAAAAGCACATTAAATTACTAAAACTTAAACCTAAAAAAGGAAAACTGAAAATATAAAAATATAAGCTAATTCAAATCTTAAAAAACACTACAACAGTATATAAACAATACTAAAACAACACTGGCATAAACCACATTTATGTTACTTTTATGGTGCTTTTAGAGCTTAGCAGCCCCAGTTTGCTTTCACTTGCATATAATTAGAGTAGATATTTTTCAGACAATCACCTTAAATGTTCCACAGAAGAAAAAAAGTCATACAGGTTTAAACCTGAATTATTATATATTTTTTTTTTTATTATTATTTTATTATTCCTTTAACTTTTCATTCCAAATATGCAAGTACTAATTGCTCCTAACACGCAAACACATGAATCAGAAGAACTCTGAACAGGCTACAATTAGCTTCTTAAATTTGAAATGTCTTTCTGACAAAAACCCAAAAAGGCTTTCAGAGACTGAGGGTCTAAAAGACGAGTCTAATAAATGTTTCTAGTCTCTAGGGTTATTGGGGTGGAAAAAGAGCCTTGCAATGTGTGGGCTTCACCTGAGCTCGACCTACATTAAGAGCCCAGAGTAGTGAACCCTCACTGGCCAGGGACGTTAAAAGCTCCTTTTGAAAGTGCTGCTACCTCGGGGTGCTTTATGAGAAACAGAACAGAGGACGGCTACACAATGTCATTATAACATCCAAATACATCCAAGCTTAGCATACTGTTGTCAGCCTACATTCACTTTAAGAGTTCTTGCGAGATATTCCAGAATTCATCACCTCTCTAAAATTAGAAATGACATCACTGAGCATCATTAACACAGCTGCATTCATTCTCAGTTAATTAGCAGTTATTAACAGACTACAACTTTATCAACACCAGTCACTTGAAAACCCACAAGGTCAGCTAGTCTGCAGTCGGGTCACTACGAAACGGAAAAATCTTCTCTATGTAGAGAGAACAAGCAATTAACGGTTTAAGAATCACTCTAGCTGTCTGCAAGCCGTGTTCAATAATTTATCTGAGATTGCAGCTGGAGTATGACGCGCCAACGGCCGACAGGGGTGAAATGGTTGTTTTTGAGTGGCTCCGCAGGCCAGGGATGAATAGGAGGGTGTTGCCATGGATACTCCTTGGGTGGGTTGCACCAACAAGGATTAAGCTTTAATCTAGATTAAATCAAGGTTTATCTAATAATTCCGTTGCACCAAACTTTAAATCTTGTTTAAAAATAAGCAGGATTACATTTAAACCATCATCTCGATCCTGGATTTAATTTATATTTAAGATAGATTAACTTTAATCATGTTGCTTCATAACTTTAAACTCAGATTTAGATCTCAATTAGGGATTAATTTTAAACTTACAGGTGAGGAGGTTTAAATGAAATAAAGTGCACCTACAGTTACAATTATGTGGCTGATTAAACAAAGAAAACAATAGAGGGTGTGTTGTGAGGTCTCAGGTGTTTATTACAAATAAAAAGGAAGATTTAAGCGCATTGAGCCAGCAGATTGTGAGGGTTTTGGCAGCCCGTAGTAAACTCGCGTCTGCTATCGAGTCCGGGATATGAATCCGTCACTCATCTCGGTGTACGACAAAGAAAACAGAAAAATATACTGTATAGCATTTAACGGCAGCGGTGATGATGAAGTGAGCACCAATGATCGCGGCCACGCCTCTTGTTTCTCACACCCGCTCCACGCGTGGATGCTAGGTGGCGATCAAACGGACGGGGCGGCGCTGTCATAAAACATACTCCATTAATTGATACTATAAATATATTTCCAGGATTATGAAATCCGTATGCACTGCCAGAAACGTATCCATTGCTTGCTTGATCAGCCGTTTGAATAACGATAGCAGTTTATTAAGACGGCAGATATTTTACAAGTTTATTTCCTCTTTTGACACGAGCAACTTTTTATGTCAGAAAGAGAGTTTGGTAGTAAGCAAAGAAAAATTATGAATATTAGCATTGTTCCTGTTCAATTGCAATGGCGAAATCCATCATGGCGGAGAAAATTAATCGTAGATGGAGGTTTTAATCGCAGGTTAGAGTTCTAATCCCTGATTTGTTAATCTGTGTTTAAAATTAAGTGGTGCAACACAACTCGACTTAAAATAAAACCCTGATCAACAAATCCTTGATTAGCTCTAATCTTGGTTTAACTGAATCCATGTTGGTGCAACCCACCCATAGAGATTATAGAATATTGAGTGGTTTTAAAATGATAAACTTTTGAGAGCATATGGAATGATGTTATACATAATTTAAGAAGCTAAAGATGGTTATAGAATGTTGAGAGGTTTTAAAATGATAAACTATTGAGAGGATATACTGTATAACAAGATTACACAACTACAATTTTGAGAGGCTATAGAATGAGATTAGAGAATGTTGAGATGTTTCAGAATATTTAAGACAGAAAATTAGGTTATAAAAGCTGTAGAGTATTGAAACTGTTGCTTAAAAGAATGAAGAGAGGAGATTGTGGGTTTATGGAGCAGGAAGAAGGGAGGACAGTATAAATAAGTGAGAGAGGAGAAAGAAGATGAAAGAGGGAGGTGTGTGGGATGTACACTGGTAGCTGCTAATGCAGTGAGGCCTCAACACACTGGAATGTGCTGGACTCAGCCGACTGGACGTCCAGTCCAGACTCAACAACAACACACAAAGCACCTCATTTACCCTGCACACATAAATCTAGCAATAAAAGGTAAACATTTATCACAAGTTGCAAGTGAATGCATCGATACAATTCTTCAAATGTTTGAGAGTGTGCGTATGTGTTGGTTAGACGCCTCGTCTGCGCCTCTGCATACAGCGAGGCACTATCACATGACACTTTTGACTGTCCACATGCCTGGAAAGGGAAAAACGCCTGTGGTTACTGACCTGGATACAGCTTAAACACTTACTAGAAGTTATACCGATATAAGAAGATCTGATCCTGGATCAGGCCACTCTGAGCGAGTCAAACAGGGTGTGTCAGTCAATTTTGTCTGTCACGGGTGACAAAACTCTCAAGTCTGCCAAACTCTGCTGACATCAACTCGCATCACGCCAGCTAAAATAAACAACACGCACATAATCAGAGGCTACTGGTGGATTTCACCACTGTGCAGATGCTCTCCCTCTGTATATCCTGGTCACATCCTCTAGGTGTGGTGTTTTAGAAATCAAAATGGTAGTTTCACTATAAAGGTGTGACCACATTAGTGAAATTTGGCTACATTTTGTGGCCAAAAAAGGCCTATTGTCTACTGTCAATTGTGTAGCGATGTACAGTACGAAGCACAGCTCACGCAGAAATCACTTTCAAACCAATGCAGCAAATTTGCAAGACGAACTGAACAAACTGTACAAAACAACCAGGACTTCTACTGAAATGACTGGATTTCACCTGCGAAAATTTGCTGAACAAAAACTTCTCTTCCGTCAAAATGGAAGTTTCACTGTAAAGCCTTTGTTTTTTATGCATACGTTAGCATTAAAAATTGCGGGTAACTTTAAATCTCCTCACACAAGCACATCTATGGTTTTTACCGGAGTTTGTTGTTGTTGTTCTTGTTCTGTCTTTGAAACAACAGCTTAGGCCAGTGTTGCCACATTGTGGACATACTAATTAGTGCAAAAACATATGAGCATACAACATATGCATACAATGGTAAAAGTGAGCACACCCGAAGTTAGCATATATGCATTTGTCTGTGTCTGCGTCAACATGGCAGTTTCACTAGAAAGGTGCAATCACATTATCAAACTTTTGAGGGCAAAAAATAGGTCCACTGTTCTTTGTCAATATAGTAGCAATGTATGAAGCACACACAGAAGTTAGTTTTAAACTGAGCAGTTTTCTGTTAGTTAAAGTGATGATTTTGCATAACAAATTGAACCTGATATGAAGTCTGCGAAGTGAAATTTTTGCCCTCATGCAAAATTCTTGATTGCGTGGATTGATTCCTATGACTGGATTTTGTCTATGAAAATTTGCCAGATAACGGTAAATGTTACTGCTCTTTGAGTCAGCATATCTGTATGTCTGCGTACCTTCGGACGACGATTTTGAGAACCCTGTAAGAACCTTTGATGAGGATGAGAGCTTCTTGACGGGAGCCGTAGAGAGCAGAGCCGTTAATGTTCACCAGTTCATCCCCCACTCTCAACTTCTTACACTGAGCTGCCTTTCCTCCCTCTTCTATCTTTAGGAGAGACAGAGAAAAACAGTTTAAGGTTAAATATTATATTTATATATGTGTCATATACATTCACACACACCACAGAGGGAGGTCTCCTGAAGAAAAAGGGCCATTATAACAGATCATTTTTTCCTGTCAAAGAGGACTTGGAGGTTAAATTCTTAAATCAGAGAAGCACACACACTTGACAGAACTTGCTTACAGATAAGCACGTTTACCCACACGGCCTTGTCCATTTAACATGTAACCACTTCCTCTTTTAAAAAACGCAGGACAGAGGGGTCAGAAGTCAAACATACATTCAATGTATACAGCCATTCATCATACACGCATACAGACACACAATACCAAGTTATTCAATTAGGGACCCTCCTACATAAAATAGGACTAAGGGTCAAAGATCAGCTCCAAAGCCACGTAATTCCCATACACAAAATATTAGCTTAGTCAAAACATACACAATCACACTTCCACTCAGTCACGCACATATAAATCTCAGCTTCCAACATAAACGCACACTTTTCATGTTAGGTAGACACATGCATTACAGAGTATCATATTCATTTTTAGGTCTTACATTAGAGCCCATTTCTCTTTAAACAAATCCTACCATAAAAGCACACAACTAATGCCACAAAGCTTTCAAATTGAAGTCACATTTCTCTTTTTAGTGGCTACAGTCATGCTGCAAACCAGGGGATTCAAACTATAGGCCACATTCGGCCCGAGAAATACATTCTTTCTTTTTTTTTAGATTTATTTCTGGCGTTTTTGCCTTTTATTGATAGGATAGTAGTAAGACAAGAAGCGAAGTGGGAGAGAGAGGGGGGATGGGATCGGGAAAGGTACGCGAGCCGGGACTCGAACACGGGACGGCCAAAGCACAATGGCGCTACATGTCGACGCGCTGCCCACGAGGCTATCAGTGACTGAGAAATACATTCTTACTAGAGTGTTAATGGTTTACAAATATACAGTATATATACACACTATAAACACAATAAAGGAGTGTTTCCTTTCAGAAATTCCTCAAATTATAAAATGGTTCATCATAAAATCTAATTTAATTTAAAATAGTTGTTTAAACAGAGAATGATGCTTGGAATGTCAAAGTAATGGGTTTGATTCTCAGGGAATGCATGAATGCAAATGTCACTTTGGATAAAAGGGAATATTCATGCGGCCGGAATAAAATGCTCGGTGGGGTTCATAATAGTGGTCGACCGATATATCGCCAAGGCCGATATATCGACTGATATTTGGCATTTTTTAAATATCGGCATCGGCCGATGAGTTTTCCTGTTTGGCCGATGCGTTCGAGGTGGGACTTTTATTCTGACAGCGAGCCATACATTTATTTTGACGGTGCTGAGAACGGCAGCGCCACATTCTCCCTCTTGTTCGCTGTCGTCGTTAACAGTTATGTCTAATACGGACAGAAATCGGTCTAATAATCAGATAGAACGGTTAAACAAAGGAATTAAAATGTATACAAAAAGTATTATAACGATTGTTTTTATATTATTAGTAATAGAAAGGCAAACATTATAATACTTTCTTGTTTGCCGTCAGCATTCAGCAAATATGCATTTATATCATTTAAACAAATCTTTAAATGACTAATGAACATTTAGTTTCACAAACTTAGTCGGATCCAGTTGTGAGATCTTGTGAAGTGTGCATGTGTATCCTGCATGATCGCGTGTTCTCTGCGTGATGGTCGATCCGTGTGAATTGAATGAGGACTGGAGGAGAGTTCAGCTTCAGTGGAGACGCGCGATCAACAAACTTTAAACTTGTGATTTTAAATTATGCTGCGCTTCATGCATTTGCCCACTGCCATATTCATGTCATTTC